GTTTGCCTAGGGCGGCACTTTCCTGGGGGGCGGCCCTAGGCAAACGCCTTGTACCGCAAACGTCTGTCTGACAGCATGTTTGTAAAAGCTGAAGCTCCATTTAAGGCACGGAGCCTGCTTGTGGTGGAGAGGGGGGAGGGCGGGAGCCTGCTTGTGGTGGAGAGGACGGGAGCCTGCTTGTGGTGGAGAGGGGGGAGGGCGGGAGCCTGCTTGTGATGTACTGCTGGGGCCACAAATATAATGAAGCGGCCCATGGGATTGTGTCACCCCTGTTTCAGGTTACCCTTACTAGCCATCACACTACAGTTCTGCCTGGAGATTTCTGTCACTAGGAAGATCTTCTGCACGGAGCTCCGCCCACCAGCCAATGAGAAGAGACCTCACCCCTTCCATCCACCACACGAGGATCTCTGGCTGGGGGGGCGGAGTTTAACTGCAGAAGCTGGTCGAGACGTCGTCCTGCACGCTCCTGCCAGCTCCCGCCCGCAAGACACGGCCTGAGCCAGCATAGCATGTGACGTACGCCCGGCCCAGACCCGCTGTACGTCAATCCCACGTGACCATACACACGTGAACCGAGCGTAAGCATCACAAGGACGTGACGATACCACTCTCAGCCTGCGCAGAGATTTCCCAGCTCGCAGGACACAATCTCAGGCCAGCAGACTGAGAGCAATCGTCACCAGGGTTGGTTAACTCCGCAGTTAACCCTTTACCCACAACCGTTCACTGCCACCATGTATTTTCCGGAATACAAACCCTGCCCAGCAAATGCTGCGACAATTTAAACACTTAAACAATGCCCGTGATACCGCTGTTCTCTCAGACAGGAATATGACAGGATTCACCATAGCGCTCTTCACAGAGACAAGGATGCTTTAAGTTCGTATTTAGAGCGTAGAGATAAGCTTAACGATATTTTAAGATCGTCCTTTTATAAAAGAAACGGTGCAGAAAATATACAGAAAAGGATTTAATAAAAAGAGACAACATATATATACAACAGTAAAAAATAAAGGGAATAAAAGAATATTCAACAGTCCTGGAATGAGGAGCTCTGACAGAGTTCAGAGTTCAAGAAGCAAAGTGGAAGTCTGCAGGGCTCTTCTTCAAGCAGGCTTCCAGCAGATAATGTCCAAAGATTAAAGGGAAACTCTTCTGCGATGTTAAGCTGGTTAGACCCCACAGAGCCCTGGTGAGACCACCACAGAGCCCTGGTGAGACCCCACTGAGCCCTAGTTTAACCAGGGCTCTTTGGGGTCTCACCAGGGCACTGAGGGGTCTAACCAGGCAGGTGAAACCGCACAGAGCCCTGGTAAGACCCCACAGGCCTGAGTGGGGCGTCATGTTTAGGTTTTGCCTAAGGCCCAGCAAACTCTAGAGCCGCCTCTGCAACCAATCAGCTGTTGGACTTACCTTACATATTTTCTGTCAGAAGCTCTCCTCAGCAGTGATTTTCATCAAAACAACTCCCTCCCTTCCTCCATTGTCGCGGCTATCCTTTGTTAGGGGGGTATTGTCCCCCATATATAGGGGTGGACAGTGTTTCCTAGTATATTGGACTGGTGTTATGATTATGGCTCGAGACTGCGTGACTGCGCTAATTTCAGGGATCCCAACCTCCCTGAAATGATGGCAGATAGCAGGGGAGCTAATACTTCCCTGCAAACTTCTGGGAGGGTTTTTGTACTCTGACAGCTCCTGCCATCAGAATAAAAAAACAAACAAAAAAAACAACAGCAGGCTACTTGGGAATGAATGGCTAGGCTGCTATTGTCTATTTCTATTTGCAATAGCCAATAGCAGGCTGGCTATTGCACCCGCCCACTGCTGCTGTCAATCAGCAGAAGAGGACCTGAAGAAGGTGAATTCCAATGCTGTGTTTTATTTTTATTTTGCTCCGACGGTGGTCGGCGGCTGTGCTGTTGGAAAGAAAAAACAGACAGCAGGGAAAGGTTTATGGGATAAAATGTTTCTCTCGGATGGATCCTGTCTGCGTCCGAGCAAAGACACCCGCACCCGCACGGACGTACAGTTTGGGTGAGCATACCACCGTGTACTCCCATAGAGAGTGTGAATGAGGGCTTAAGGGGTTTAAAAGTTTATGTATGTTTGAAGGCCGGCCGAAGGCTAGCCCGGATTTGTGGGTGGAGCCTGTGCCTTTGAAGACGGCACAGCTCACAGGGGATTTACGTCGGCGGGTCACGAACATCATCTGTACTTCCGGGTTGGTGACGTCAGCTACGAGCTCTCCACGAGACGGAGGGTTTGCGGAAGCCGGGCTCTCCCACTTCACCTACGAGTGCTTTCTGAGGACTTACGATCGGACCTTTCGGCATCTGTTTGTGGAGCTGTGTGTGGGAAGGTGAGGGAGAGAGGGAGGGAGAGAGGGAGGGGGGATCTATCTTGGAGGAATATTTCATTACATGCAGTTCCGGGTCGAGCACTAGGGGTCAGCACTGCCGTGCACGTTGCTTAATGTTTTGCTCAGCTGTCATTTCTTTGTAACGAGTTCTTAAAGGTGCATTTCCATAATTCGTGTGAGGGGTTTTAATTCTCAACTGGGCATGATTGTCAGTGCATGTGCAACTGCTTTTTCACCGGGTTCTGTTTAATTGGGGCTGTTTGGGGGGGATGTTTGCATGCTTTTCACCAGTTATTTTTGGGCACGTTATGCGTCAGTTCATACAGTACATGCTTATAATAGCTGGTATTTCTCTCACATCGGTTAGCTCATGACGTTAAAAAAGGGAAAAAAAACAAAAAAACTTACAAATAAAAGTTTAGGTAGATACATAAATGAACATAGAGGACATACATACATACATACTTTCGTCAGAGGGTGTGTTCATTTCATGCAGCCGCACTCAGTCACAAGGAGCATGCGTACGTTGTCTCATATTTCCTAGACCAGTTCCATACGTCATACGGTCAGTTTTCCACAATTCCTATTGTTATACATTACCTGCTGCGCCTGCAGGTACGTTAGCCCGCAGTATTCGTTTATAATTGATCTGTCACGTTGCAGATTCAAACTCGGGCTCGCTTTTTTATACGTCAGTGGAAACGACAAACATACTTCGTGTCAGCCTCGTTGGCATACACATACGTTCCAAACACGCTGCATGGTGAGGGGGGGGTTTAAGTCTGTCACCTTGTCTGCCTAGCACGTGGGCAGCAGGGCGCACGTATCATAATTTGTTTTGTTTGGTTGTTTTAGTGGTCATGTCTCAGCTATCAGACATTGAGGAGTTCGCGTCCATGCCTCCATCCCTTTTGGGCATGTTAAATTTTGCCATGAGGATCATTCCTCAGGGTAGGTCGTTTATTTCCAGATTGTTAGTTTTATTGCAGGAAACTCACGATTTGGACGCATCAGTTCATCTAAATGCCAACGCCTGGGCAGATCTGTTCATGTGGGAAAGATTTCTGAGTGGGTGGAATGGCATTTCGATGTTTGTTCCTAGGGCCACCGTCAATTCTCCACACACTTTTTCAGATGCGGCAGCCTCGGTAGGTTTCGCTGCCATTTTTAGCTCACATTGGTTGGCCGGCTTATGGCCCACGGAGGTACTACGGATGCCGGGTTTTTCTCAGACTTCGGCATTGTTCGAGATCTATCCTACCGTAGCAGCTGCGGTAGTTTGGGGGCAAATGTGGTCGGGTCACACGGTGGTTTTCCACACTGACAACATGGCGACTGCAGAGATCATTAACAAGGGTAGATCCAAATCTTTACTCATCATGTCTTTCAATACGCAGATTGACCTGGATAGCTCTGGAGCAGGGGTTTCATTTTCATGGTTTGTTTGTGGAAGGGGTGAGAAACGTTTCGGCCGATGCTTTGTCTTGTTTTGATTTTTCACGTTTTTTCTTACAGAATCCAGAGGCGGATACAGTGGGCACCCCGGTACCAGACTGGCGCTTGCTGGTATTGGACTAGAATCTCTGATGATGGTCGCCAGTTCACTCATTACAAAATCTTTGTCTAGCAGTACTTTGAGAGTGTACCGCAGAGCGTGGGAGGTTTTCTCCAAATTTCAGGTGACTTGTCCTAGGGGTAATACCGGTCAGGTCAAATACATGGTGGCCTTCGTGTCTTACTGTCATTCAGTTCTGGCCCTATCTGACAACACGATCAGGCTATATTTAGCGGGGTGCAGCATTTTTTGGCGCTTCAGGATCCGGATAGACCTTCCATATTTGCTGCCCATCCGATCAAGGCCATCCTCAGGGGTATCCAGAAGAGTCAGGCCACGGTCGGGTTGATCCGTCGGCCTATCACGGGGGACATCTTTCGCAGACTGTCAGAGGTTCTTTTACCTTTCGGGGTTCTTCCCAGTCTGGTGCTCAAGTCAGCCATGTATTTGGCTTTCTATGGGTTTTTGAGGCCAGGGGAGGTAACCCAGGGGGCAGTGGTTCTCTGCAAGGGCAATTTAGTTAAGGTGGGTGTTAGCTATCAGCTGCAGTTACCTCACGACAAAACCAGGCAGGTGGGTCCCGGGCACTTAGTCAAATTCTTCCAAAACGGGAACGCTTGTTGTCCAGTGATAGTTCTTGACAATCTCTTTTTGGCTCTTAGTCTCCACAAGTCAAAGGACCCCTTACTCAAACCCATGGCTAGCATGGGTTTGAATCCAGCACAGTTTTCTGGGCATTCATTCCGCATTGGGGCAGCTTCCGCTGCGGTGTCACTTACGTGATAAGGCTCGGACCACAAGTTTGAAGGCTGGCCGAAGGCTAGCCTGGATTTGTAGGAGGAGCCTGTGCCTTTAAAGACGGCACGGCTCACAGAGGATTTACGTCGGCAGGTCACGAACGTCCCCACCCGCCCATCCCCCTTGCTTTCATTCATTTAATTTACATTCAGAGTATGCCATCTTTTAGGCATACTGACCTGAGAATTAATTAATTTAATTTCTTCGGCGTAGGCTTTGGCATTTACCACACCCTATAACAACAACAAACCTTAACCCTGCTCACTCAGTAACAAGGAGAAAATGGACGAGCACATTTGGAGAGAAACATTTCAAAGTGAAATGCAGTATAAAGGAATCCATGATCGGTGGGACTTCTCTGTGGATGAACATTTCCAGGCACAGAAGGGTTGGCTTCAATATTCATTGTGCGGCTTTGCCAGGTGAGTTTGTGTCATATCCATTGCTTTCAGCAGTATAGTCATTATGTGTGTCATTCTTCTTACGTGTGTAGAACAGAATAATGTACTGTATATGCTACTATGTATATATTATTATGCACATTAGAGAATCACTTCCAAGGGTTCTCTTCTATTATAATCAATCATACCCAAGAGAGGAGGATATTACTCTCACTTACAAGGCACCTCTATGGTTGCAGGAACACTCGGAGCTCCTCTGTCTTTTTATTCTAGCCTCATTTAAACCAGTCACCAGCAATGATAAATCTTAACATGATTATAGATAAGTGGGGAGGCTACAGAAACAATTCACAATATAAAGAGAAATAAGGGGAGTCAACATATTTTTGTGCTGAAGATGCTGCGATCCGGTTCAGGATTCAGTTACATTCATCTTGTTAATTCTGAGGTTATGAGTCTACGTTTATGTACTACAGCAAACTGGCTAATAATGCTATGTAGAAAAACTATTAAACTTTTCCTGTTTGAAATGCCCCTATATATTCCTTATTTATTCATAGCATTCATTACATTGACACCCCTTGTCAGTTAATCCGTTTATACAGTCACTCAGAACTATTTTAAATAATATCTGTGGGAATTTAAAGCAAAATGCGGCTATTAAATAGGTTTAGGTTGTAGAATATTTTAAATAAGAACTCTGGCAAACAAAAAACATACCCTTGCAGTGGGGCTACTCCTGCAATGCAAGGGTTAAATGCTTGTTTTGTGTATGAGGCTCAAATAAAGCAGTTTTGCTCACCTGATCCTCAGTCCCACAGGCTCCCTCGAGGCTGCTAGACCGGTTCCCAGAGCCTCTTCTCCCATGGGCTCCAGCGGCCTAATGAAAGCTTACGACATCATGTAGGTACATTGACCTGCATTAGACATAATGACACCAAGGGACATCCCTTAGCTAGAAAAGTATGGACACTGGCACGCCAAGTCAAATGCATCTATGTATTGACGTAAATGCAGCAAATCACATTATAGAGCACTATTGTATAATGTGATTTGCTGCATTTACATCAATAAATAGACGCATTTGACCTGCAATTTTGGAGTGCCGGTGTCCATGCTTTTCTCTGCAAATTGATGGTTGCCATCCGTCGACTACCACTGCACCCACCTAATCTACATGGAGAAAGCGGTCAGGAGTGCGAGGGGTTCATGGACTCTTATCCCAGCTAGAGCACATGGGGAGAGAGGTGAGTGATGACTGTTGCGGGACTGAGGGTTAGGTAAGTAATACAGCTTTATTTGAGCCCCTAGACAAAATAAGCACTTAACCCTTGCAGTGTGGGGGTAGTCGATTGTCGGCGGGTTTCTAGCCTGCTCGTTCGATAGCTGTGGAACGGGCCGGTGTGCGCACGCACACACTGCCCGTTCTGCATTGCGGTCATCTGAAGCCCGCCCCTCAGCGGGGCGGGCTTTCAATGATCGCAAGTACGATCTGCCCGTCCAAGGTGGGCAGATTGTACGAGCTTTCAATAAGCATACGACCATCGTAAGACAAAAGTCTTGAGATGGTCGTTAGGTGTATGGGCACCTTAATTAGTCACAAAAATATAAACTTTGTGTGTGAACTTTAATGTAATAACAGTAATGTTTCTGAGGTCTTAGTCCCCACTGATCACCCTGAAAGAAACATCTTCCATTTTTCTGCCAGTATCATGAAATCTCATCCAATGAGTTACTGTATCTGTTTCAGGTTTTGCTGCTCAATTTGTGGTCGCGATTGGGCTTCTTCACAAGTGTGCCTTTTATTCCACATGAAGCTGAAATCATCTTTTGGGCGGGTGAAGATGCATATCTTCAGGCAGAAGTGCAAAGTATGTAAATGTGCCAATTATGAGGAACCCGTCTTCTTAGTAGAGAATGTTGAGGTGGCTATGAAGTGCTTGGTTAAAAAGATACGTCAGAAATTTTACAAACTGCCCATAGAAGACATCCCGAGGAACTTTGTCAGAGATGGAAGACAAGATGGTCCGCATGATCGTGTCAACTGTGAAGCCTGTGCAAAGGGAATTTGTAACTATATAAAGAGCCAAGAAAATCAGTCAAAGCAGAAAAAATATACTTACCATGAAGACATATACACGACATACAATACACCATCACGACATCAACAATCATGGGAAGACATTCAAGAAGTCACAAGACCATACATGACTATAAGTCACAGTCCACGTGTGCCACAGTATCCCCAAACATCACAACATTCAAGGCAAGAAGATTGGTCACTTATCAGCAATCCAATTGTACCACGGCGTGAGCAAAACATTCCAGAGCGAAAATCAAAATTGGGCTTTATAATATGTTGCTGTATAATATGTTTCTGTATATATTACTGTAAAAGGAAAATGAAATGAACGAGCATATATCCATATGGTTTCTTTAACTGCTTGAAGACCAGGTGTTTAGACCCCCTTTCCTGGCCAGGCCATTTTTCAGTATTCAGCGCTGCGGTACTTTGACTGACATTTATTCCATCATACAACGCTGTACTGAAATGAATTTTATACCATTTTTTTGGGGACAGATAGAGCTTTCTTATGGTGGTATTTAATCACCACTGGGGTTTTTATTTTTTACTATAATTAGGAAAAATTACTGACAATTTAGAAAAAAAATTTTTTAACATTATATTAGGAAACATTTTATTATTACCCAGTTTTTTGGTAAAATATAAAATTCGGGGTCACGTCGGGTAAATAGACACCAAACATGTCAAGCTTTAAAGTTGCGCGCACCCGCGAAATCGCAAAAAACTACCATACCCAAAATTGGCCATAGGCGACACTTTAAAAGCTTTTACCGCTCATCAGTTTAGTGTTATCAGTGATTGATGGCCCTAGAATTATTGCTCTCACTCTGACGTTTGCGGCGATATGTAACATGTGTGGCGTAATGGGCGCAATCGTCTTTTTTGCACGTATGCGCCCCCGACGCATGTTTGCATGCGTGTATGTATGGGTGGGGACTTTAAACATTTTTTTTGTTTTTTTATTCTTTTTTATGTGTAAGTTTAAAAAAAAAATTGTTGGGGGGGGACTTTTTTTTCCTATTTTTTTTCCACTAAACTTTATTGTTATCACATACGGAGGCTAATAAACCCC